ACGCTATCCACGTCCCCACGCTATTCGCTCGCAAGGCACAACGTGTCGCGGGGGCCGCCGCCGCGACACGCTGTCCAAAAGGTCCTGACCGTAGGCCTCCGAGATGGGGTCAGGGCAGATGGGGCCCGAGGATTGCGCCGCATCGCCGATGTATCGGCGATGAGCCTCGATGTGGAGTCCGATTTGCTCTACGCCGACGTCGCCGATGCATCGAAGATGCGGCGCGACCCTCCGACCCTTTCTCCTGAGACCCCATCTGGGAGGCCTTTGTGTAGGTTGCATGGGCGAAGAATTTGGGGTATACTGTGGCCCCTGTTTTGAATCCGACTCCACCTGCCGTGCCGCGGCGTGCCCGGGTGCGGCGATGCAGTGCATGTGCTGTAATTAGAAGGGTGTGCCTGCTGCGGCCAGAAGCCTTCTCAGCCAGCACTGGGGAAGCTGGGGGACAAATGATGGGCCTGTTTTCCACCACCACCATCACCACAAGTTGGAGGGGAGGGGGTCCTCCTCCTCCACCTCCTCCTTTTGCTCCTCCTCCTCCTCCTCCTCCTCTTCGTCCTCCTCCTCCTCCTCCTCCTCCTCCTCCTCCTCCTCCTCCTCCTCCTCCCCCTCCAGCTTGTGGTGGTGGTGGCGGCAAAGGCAAGACGCTCCGCTGACCCGTGCCATGTCAAACGCGGCCGCCCGTCGGAGGAGCGCCGCCCGAGACGGCGGCGACTCTCCCCGGGCCCGCCTCGGCTCACGCTCGGCCCCCGGGACCTCTCCTGGCGCCCAGGCCGAGCCGCCTCCCGAGGCGGATCCAGCCGTGGCGACGAGAAGCCCGCAGGAGGCCCGCGACGCACGAACCATTCCAGTGTCAGGTCGGGCCTGTCCCCCTACAGGGGGATTTTAAACGAATAGTGAATCATGTGCAGAACATGCCCCCAAAATGTTTAAAACATTCTCACGACATCTTCCCCAGATTTGGCAATTTGTGAATATCCCCCCTGTGGAGGGACAGGACCGACTTAATTCCAGTGAGGGCCAGCCCTCCTCCCAATTCGGCTGGGCGCCTCGAACAACCGCCCGAGACCACGGAGGGGAGCCGCCAGAGACCGCCATGGAGCCTGCACCCGTCGCGCCTCCCGGGGCCCGCCGCTTCCGTGCTGCCTGCTCCCACCCCCCTCCCAGGGCCTCTGGAGGTCTCCGGAGGCCTTGGGGGGCGCGCTGCCGGGGCGGGATCCGCGATCATCTTCGGGGACCTCGGCAGGCGGCGGAACTGGATGTATTCCCCCCCCCCAGCCCGAATACAGTCGGCCCTGATTGGTAGGTCGACCATGCCAAAACGAGGGCACCCTTTTGTCTTTTGTCCTGTCGACCCCGACGTATACAACCCGAGACCACGCTGCCGTCGGACGAGTCCTGTGTCCTCTCGGGCTTTCCAGAAAGGGCCTCGCCTTCAATGAAGGATCGATGGAGTCATCATCTCTTCCTCGGCGGAAGGCGGCGGACGGGCGGCGGAAGCTGACGGAAGTAAAGCGAGAGCGGTTCCGCCGGCCGACGCCGACGGAAGATGAGGAGGAGCAGGAATAGAAGGAGGAGGAGGAGAAGGAGGAGGAGGAGGAGGAGGAGGAGGAGGAGGAGGAGGGCGAAGGAGGAGGCGGAGAGGAGGGGAGGAGGAGGAGGAGGAGGAGGAGGAGGAGAAGGAGAACGAGGAGCAGGAGGAGGATGGCGAAGGAGGAGGAGGAGGAGGAGCAGCAGGAGGAGGAGCAGGAGGAGGAGCAGGAGGAGGAGGAGGAGGAGGAGGAGGAGGAGGAGGAGGAGGAGGACGACGAGGAGGCCACCATCGAGCTCTCCGCTGGTCGCTCCTCGGTTTGTCCCCCTCTGGGCCGGCGCCGCCTGCGAGATCGCGCTCCGCGATCGAGAGCACGAGTGCGGATCGCGAAATCGGGTGACCTACTGCCCAGGGCCGCCTCTTGTCCGAGTCGATTCGTTTCGCTGGCGATCCGTTCCAAATTCGATTCGATTCGGCACAGTTCTCTGGCAATCCGATCCGTTTCGAGCCGAGTCGATGTGGCGATTCGATCCCTCTCAGGCCTGCCCGACCAAGCTCCCTGACCCTCGTGGAGAGACTCTGGCATCCCTGCCCTTCCCTTCAGGTGCCCATCGCGAATGACCTCGGGCTCACCACCACGCAACAGGGCATCCTATCGACCATGCTGTTCTTCGGCGGGCCAGGGGGGGCGGGGGGGCAGGGAGTCGGACAGGGCTAGGACGAGGACAGAGCCCGTTGCAGAGCGTTCTGGAACGCCCTCAGAGCGTTCCGGAACGCTCTGAGAAGGCCGCGGCGCCCGCGACAGCCTCCATGGCCGCCGGATCTAAGACATCCTTGATGTATCTGTCACCCGATGTTATCCTCGCCCTGGCTTCGTCTTCGGGGGGGGGGGGGGGCGCGGTGTCGGCAGATTTTCGACCGCGGCGTGCCGCCACGTCGCCCTGGCGGTCTTCGAGGCCGTGGGTGGGGCTGTCGGTCTTCGAGGGCGGGCGGAGGAGGAGGGGGCAGGGGAGGGCGAGGGAGGCGGCCGAGGGGGCAGCGGGCGGCAGGGGAGGGCGATAGGGGGTCGAGAGCAGGCGGGGACGTGGGGGGGAGGTGTGGAGGGAGGCCCTCGAGCCGGCTTCCACGCGAGGCTGGCCCGGGGCGGGTCTTCGGCGCGGTGGGACCGGCCTCGCACGCCTGGCCCCGGTGGCCTCTCGTCCCACGCGGTGGGCGAGTGCCCGGTCTGTGGGAGGGAGCGAGACGGGGAGCGCTCGGACTCGCTCCTCCTCCTCCTCCTCCTCCTCCTCCTCCTCCGCGTCCCTCCCGCCTCCCGCTCCTCCTCCGGCCTCGTGCCGAGCGCCAGCTCTCAATGGGCGCACCTCCCCGGGTTGTGGCGAGCGCTCGCCTCCAGGCGTCCTGCATGCCGGCCGCTGCCCCGCCCGCCTTCCCTGCGCCCCGTCCCGCCTTCGCCGCCGCTGGCCGCCCGCGCCGGCCGGCGGCCCCGCGGTGCGCCCGGTGCGACGAGAGCGCAGGCCTGGGCCGTGCAGCGGCTGCTGCGGTGCTTCGATGCGCTGTCGCACCTGGGCTGTCGGCCCGCGCGCCTCGGTGCCGCCGTGGCCGAGCCGTTGCGTGCCGCTGGCGCCTGCGGAAGCGCCTCCTGCCCGCGCGGATGACGTCGCTGCTGACGCCCCTGCCGATGGTTACGAGGGCCGGCCAGGACTTCTGCACTGCACTGGCAAGGGCGGGCAAGGGCGAGCACATCCACAAGGGCAGAGGCGCAAACGGCCACGAGGGCGGGGACACCCCCAAGGGCAAGGGACGGGCAAGGGCATGTCCAAGGGCATGTCCAGGTACAACGGTTTCTTGCAGGGGACAGGCAAGGACACGGGCAAGGTCAAGGGGCCCAGCTTTGAATTTGGCCGCTCGGTGCTCGTCACCCGACGGCTCGCCTACGAAGCCGAGCGATCCGTTCGGTTAGGGCTCGGTTACGGCAGCGCCCTGCGATCCCGATCCCTTCGGCGATTCCGGTTCGCTCGGCGCCGGCTCGCGGCGACCGGTCCCTTTCGCTCGCCCGGTGGCCAGAGTGGCCAGGCGGCGCAGTTTGGGGCCAGATGGGCCCGCCCAGTGTCAGGAGGGGAAAATATGGGGAATCCTTTTATTTGTGTGTATTTATTTGTGTGTCCTTGGGCCCCTTCAGTGTCCAGGTGGTCCGCGGTGCAGTTTGTGGTCGTGCCGTCGCAGTCTCTTCGTCGTCTTCTCTGTGAGGGCTCGGGCCCCCAGTGTGCGGGCCTCGCCACCGGTCAGAGTCGGAGTCGGAGCCCAGCCTTAGGTCGGGCCTGTGCTTCTACAGGGGGATTCAGAAACAGTCAAAAATGAGTCTGGGGACTACTTGATGATTCTTTAGGCTTACGCCACACCGCCGACCCCTTGTTTTTTTTTGGAGGCAATCTTGGACGTCTTGGGGGCGTCATGGCCCGACTTTATCCCCGGATTCCTATCGTCGTCGTCTCTGCTCCTCATCCCAGTAGTCGGCCCATCCCGCCACCGTGCCTGAGTTGTGGTTCAGAGGCCTCTCAGATTCAGGAGAAAGTCCAGAATCGGTGCGCGAAGTGCAAGAATTTCTTGAAGACGGAGGCGGAAGTGGCGGCGAACCAGTACGACTCGAAAAATGCGGGGGAGAGGCTTTGCAGGGCGTGCGCCCGCAACGAGAAGGGTGGGCGGAACGAGAAGGCGGATGCAGAGAATCGCAAGCGGAAAGCAGAGGCGGACGCGAAACCGCTGACGTGCGCGGCGTGCAAAGGCGCGTTCTCGGACACGAAACATTTGAAGCAGAAACAAGTGGAACATCATCGAGCGGCGAAAGGAGCTAAACTGGTGTGCAGAAGCTGCGAGGAACTCGGGTTCACAGCGCGCAGTTGCCAGGCTTATCAGTGCAGCGGCGCGTGCGAGAGCGGACTACCAAAGTCGGCGTTCCCCGACCCTCGCAATGTCCCGCGCGACGCAAAGAAGGGCACCCTAAAGTGCAAGACGTGCAAATGATGCCCAATCGGTTGCGCGTACTGGGCAGAAAGGGAGGACGGGAAGAGGAGGATGGGGGGTGAGGCGGAAAATGGGGGGGAGAAGCATCGGTGAGGATGAGCTGAAGCGGGGCAGGAAGAGGAGGAGGGGAACGAGGAGGAAGTGTAGGAGGAGGAGGAGGAAGAGGAGGAGGACGGGGACACTGAGATGAGGCTCCGGGTTATGGGGCTGGGCGCGACTCGAAAAACCGGTGTGTTCAGGGATGTCCGTTGGGATCTTGCGGGGGGGCTTCTTGCGGGCCTCTTGGAGCAGTTTCGAAGGCTCTTGGGGGCCGTTTTGGGACCTCTTTGTGGTTTCTTGGGCGCCTCTTGGAACGTCTTGGGGGCCTCTTGGGGGGTTCTTGGGGCCTCTTTGGGGCCTCTGGGGGCCTCCTGGGGGCCTCTTGGGACGTAAGGCTGGGTTTTCCGGTGCGTGGTCTCTCTCTGGAGCCCCTCTTGGGCGGTTCTTGGGCCGTCTGGGGGCTCTCTGGGGGGCGGTTCTTGGGCCGTCTGGGGGCTCTCTTGGGCCGTCTTGGGGGCGTCGAGGAGGCCTCTTGTGCCGTCTTGGAGCAGTCTTGGGAGCTTCTTGGGCTGTCTTGGAGCGTCGGAAGGCCGAAAAGGCGAAAATGACGAAAACATCGAAAAAAACAAATGAAAATCAACGATTTTGGCCTCTTGGGGCGCTCCTCGGGGGCCTCTTGGAGGTCTCTTGGGGCGTCTTGGAGGTCTCTTCGGGCGTCTTGGAGCCCTCGTGGGGCGTCTTGGAAGCCTCTTGGGGCCTCTTGGGCGCTTCTTAGGGCGTCTAGGCGGTCTCTTGGGGCGTCTGGGGGCCTCTTGGAACGTCTGGGAGGCCTCTTGGGGCCTTTTTGGCCGTATTTGGGCTTTTTTGGGCCCGGAAGAGCGTCGTGAGTCGCTCGTGGTGGGCCCCCCCCCCCTCCAAATCGACCGGACCGGGTTCCCCGGGGAGGGGTTTGGGGAGGGGGAAGCATCTCACACGCCGATGACCCAGGGGGTCGGCGGATATTGCACTGGGCATGTGTAGACAATGTGGGGCAATACGCGTGGTGCAAGCTATATGGTTCAATCTGTGTGGCG